GCATGAGGGAAAGCGGCTGACCGGAAGTCACGCACAAAAAAACGGAAGTTGATCACTATTTACTTCCATGTTTGAAAATAAGGTGGATATGACAATGTTTTTTATACTGTTTGCTTATTGTTCTGCTTCTTCTGATGCTTCCTGTTTGCACTCTGTCCCTTTGCTGCTGTAATGATAAAAAGAATGAAGGCTTATCTTATTACTTATTAAGATATGATGATAATGAACCTGGGTATTTTTTTCACTCGTCACAACTCCAGTGATGCAGCGTGTGTCCCATCTACTCTCCTCAAAACAATCACAACACAGCCATCAAAGGATGAAACATGCTTTACAGTCCCAAGTTTACTCAGCTGAGCTCTACAACTCCTGCTGACGAACAAGCGGACAACAGAGGCAAACCGTCCGGGTGACGTCACCAGCTAGCTCGCTGTAAGATGGCCGCGCCCATGCTGACATTAAGGGCACCTTTTTCCGTTGGTTGCTGACGCCACAAGTCACTGCCCAAGCATCGGATTTCAAGGACTTTGAAGTGAGACCGTGCTCTTTATCTTAGTGACTAATACACAGGTGGAAGTAATAAATTACATTTACTCTCCTTACTGTAACTGTTTGTGTGTGTGTGTGTGTGTGTGTGTGTGTGTGTGTGTGTAATTGTCATGTAGCGTAGTGTTCACATCAACATGCTGAACACTTGGGCGACAGAGTGCCCTTGTTTCAAGGAATAATCTGTTGTTTTCATGTCAAACAACCGCCAGCCCCTCTCTGTGTGTATCTCTCGTGTTAGCTCCTCTCTGCTTGGTTGTATAATTCCTCTTCAAGACAGATTGTGAGTGGGTGGGAGGCTGTGGATGTGTCATGAAGGCTTCTTCAGAGAGACAGGCAACCTTACAGGCCCTTCTCATTCCCAGGTCCTCATGTACCAATGCGTGGTCACACCCCTTCACTGTGTGGTACAGACACCAAAGACACGCTTTGGCGTCTTCATTAGACCTTTTCCACCAGGTTCTGTTCCGGTTTGTGCTCCTCATTTTGAAACCCGAACAGATTCCTACAAATAGCAGGTTCTTGGTGGAGTGTGAGTCGTGATGACATAAGTGGGCGTGTCACATCCCACGGGATGGAAAGAGACAGCAATTTGGTCATCACATGAGTTTCAGGAAAAGTTGTGAAGCAGCTGTGGACGTATCCAGGTGGGGTAGAAGAGACACTAATGCCCTGTTTCCTCTGAGCAGTTCGGTTCGGTTCGTTTTGGTTCAGTTCAGTTCAGTATGCTTTCTTTCTTTTTAAACAGATTTATTTATTCATCAGTACATTGAAATTTAGTGAACATAGATAGCATTTTTTTTTGTCCTTTATCTTTTTTTTATACAAAGTTGTGGATGGTACCAACAGAAGCGTTCCTTAGGGTCCCCATGTTTGGTCCCCCCTCTGTTGGGGTACCTAGCACACAGATCTGGTACTAAAAGGTGGACTCAATGCATGAGTTGATGACGTGAATCCATCAGCACACCTTAAATTTCACTGTGACAACTTTGACCATCACTTTAGTTTTTATATGACACACACTTTTAGTAATGACTTTAAAAATATAGATTAATTTGGAGCGGATTATGTGAAGGTCATATATTCTAATCCTCACTTCCTGTGGGCTACAGCAACACTAAACCCCTGAGCTTGCCTGAGAAGGACTAAATGCACAAAGCTGCTATTTTTAAATATCCCATGGAGAGAGACTCTCACTGCAGCCTGTTCTATTTTGTTGTGAAAATGTGGGCGTGCAGCCTCGTTCTGTGGACGATAAACCAGGTGCAGACTTCCATCTGTGTCACCGCTGATGAGGAAATACAGCGAGTGCTGGACGGAGCAGTGAGTGACAACAACCCCGCCCACATTTAAGAGGACTGTCTGAACACACCGAGGGTCTAGGTACCATGTCTGAAGGCTTACTGCTGGTTCCAAAGGTGCTGGACTGAAAGGGTTTGGTGGAGACGGGGCTTTAAACTACGAGTATTTGCAGCTCTGGTACTTTGGTCTCTCCTGATCAGGGTTTAGGGGGTCGGGTGGAGGAGATCAGAGGAAGAGGAACAAGGGACACGAGGGGGGCAGAGAAATGTCTCGAAGTGCAAAAAAAAGGTGATTATTATTTTTGCAATAATCAAGCAGCGCTATGACGACCCACACACGTGCAGCTGTGGTGACGCTGTGAGAAATGAAACCTTAAATCAACGTCGCCTGATCTGTATCAAGCATGTGCACGTTCAGCCCCACAGCTGAAGATGAATGACTGAAGTGTATTCCCAGTGTAACGTGTTAGAGAACACACTGCACACAGAGTATGTGTGATGGATGCTGAAGCTGGTCTCAGGCCTGTCACAGTTATTAGCCATAGCATATCTCGCCTCACTGTCATTCTCGGCCTCTTACTTCCAGAGCCACGTGCCGCTGACATCAGTATCAGCTGACAGAAATAGCTCTGGCGTCATGTGTTCAGTCCTGTGAACACACATCCTGCTGGGGAGACAGCACAGTGGAGCTCGCTGCTTCAAAATGAGGCAGAAAATTTTGGTTTCAACGATGGTTACGCGCTCAGAGAAGAGAGTTGTGAGGTGCAGATGTTCACCTGGATCATACCTCACCTTGAGCACACACTGTTCCAGCAGAGTGACTCTTTGGAGGCAGGGATGGTCGGCCCAACACTTTGGTTCAGACTGAAATATCTCAACTACTGCATCACTGCATGAACAGTGCAGATCTAACGGTTCTCTATCATCGGTTTCTCTGACAAGCTTCCACACAAACATCGACTCCAGGCAGGGTCAAAATTTAGGCTGCTGTTGTCTGTCTCACAGATATCACAGATCAGAGATGAGCCCGCTCCTGGACTCTGTGGGTGCTTCTCTTTTTCATAGACCCTTTATGTGTTTGTAAACTGTGGTGACATATTTTGTGAGCAGAGCCGACCTGGTGGCAGAAAGGGACAGAAGTGGTGTCTCAAGACGTGTTGAGGATGCAACAGTTACATTCACACCTGTACTCGGAGCTTTACTTGTAATCCCATCACCCAATATACATTTTAATCCCAAGTGTAAACGGGCCGATGGCAATTCAAGATTTTTCTATATCAGCAACTCTCCGACTGTTCACACATCCTCTTCGTGTCTGGTGACCGACATAGAAGGTTGCACCAACAAGCCCAAACATCAAGTTTTATTATTGCTGCTGCTCTCTGCACCGTAGCCCATCCTGTTGGGTTTTTTTTATTATTTTTTAAAGATATTTTTTGGGGCATTTTTTTACCTTTAATGATCAGAACAGTTAAGTGTGAAAGGGGGAGAGAGACATGCAGCAAAGGGCCACAGGCTGGACTCGCACCCGGGCCGCTGCAGCAACAACCTTGTACATGGGGCGCCTGCTCTACCACTAAGCCACCGACGCCCCTAGCCCATCCTGTTTTTCCGTCCTGCTGCCTGAAAGCAGCGGAGTTAAGGAGCTGGCCTCTGGTTTGTTTTTCCTCATCCTGGTGATCGGCACATCTGGGTGATGTCAGTATTAGGGATGACGTCTAAATGATTAAACGTCCGCCCCCTCCACCGATCGGCGCTCCTTGGCACACAGCCCCGCCCCTCAAGAATTCAGGGTGATCTGAAAAGTCCTCTCTACTAAGTACTTTCAGGGAAAGTTTGGGGGTGAGGGAAAGTTCTTTACCCGGGTAATTTCGGAGGAAACCGCCAAGGTTTTTCAAAACCCCGGGTAAATGAGAAAAGTTCCTGCGGTGGAAAAGGGGCTATGGTTGTTGAAGAATGTGATGAAAGGCTTCAAATGGCTCTTAATGCACACAATGTTTTCTGGGACAACGTTTCAAATACGCTGTAAAGTGAGTGCTGTAACTCTGTGTGTTTGATGTAATTAATTGTCTACAAGAAGTGTAGTCTGTCCAGTTTGTTTAGTCTGTTTCACCAGCAGGTCAGAGGGGTTGTGGCACTCTGGATTAAAATGAACACAGTACGACTAAACTGAACATTTGAAACAACAAATGACATCATATGTTTGTTATGTTAGTATAGATTTATTTTTATCATTATCATTATCATTATCATCATTATTATTATTATTACATTGGTTTGATTGAAGATAAATGCACAGCAGGCGTGTAAAACATGATTAGGAAATTAGTCAGCAACTGTCTGTGTGTGTGTGTGTGTGTGTGTCTATTGAAGGCCGTTATTTCAGCTGCTCCAGGTGAGTCTGAAGCCTGACGGCAGGGTGGCGTACTGGGCACTGAAGACGATGTAGACTTGATGGGAGGAGGCTGTGAATGGAGCGATGTTGGTTTCCTGAACGAACACAAGAGAGGAAACACAAACGATCAACCATAATCCATATTTACTGAATTTTCTCAGATGTGTATGCTTCAAAAAATCACAGGGAAACATGATCTCACTTATATCTCTGATATCGCTCACATGTCCACTCTGTCATTTTATCAAACAAGAACTGATCCACCTCATTTCTGAGCCCCCATGATACCTTGTGTCAATGACCAGTGCGACTTGAACTGGAACCTCCGCTTTCCGGTGGTAACAGTACACTAATGGCGCGCTTATCCTCTTTTGTAGAGTGACTGAGAAATGAAAGGTGGAACACACCACCTGTTACACCTCAGACAGGATAACGTGATCAAACTCTGTCATCTCTGACAGCCATCTCAAAGCATTGGTTTCCTTTTTAACAAGCATGTTAGCGATTAGCTCGCATTAACGGAGCCCGAGCTAGCTTATGGGGAATTTATACATCTGCGTTGAATCGACGCTCTACGGCGTAGGCTCCACATCGACGTAGAGTCTACGCCGTCACCTAAGCCACAGCCTGACGTGCACTCTCCCCAGAACCTCGTGTCTGTCTCTGTCAACTGAAACCATTTCCCTCAGCGGAAACAAAGCTTTGATTTACTTTAATTTCACAGATAAGAAACAATAAATTGTGAAGACAATAAAGCCTCCACACACTGTATGTGATTTATCCTGGCTGAAATATGAGCAGAGGAAATCTCTGCTAGCTGCTAGGCTAATTTATACAATGTAAAATGCCATAGGCTTGTGCTAATAACGTTAGCATGTTGTATTTGTTTGGAAAACGTGTTTAGTATCAGACAGTTGTTTTGTCAGTGAACCTTGTGAGCTGTGATAGAGTTGAATTTCATAATGTTACCTTTGTTACGTGTTGCTGTTGTCCCTGGTTTTATATGAGATCGCTAGCTGACAGTGAAGACAGATATGATGTACTGACGTTGAGTAACACACCTGTCATTGCAGGTGTCATTCCCTCCGCAAATGTCATTCCAAATATGTGAAGACGTAGTTTCTGCAGTGCATTTTATTTTTCAATAGGGAAGATCTGGCATAAACGTTGGGTAGATGATGGAGACTGAACTGCTAACGCTCTCTGTAGATCCTCAGAGATAGTCAGGAGTGTTTGTTTTTAAAGAACTTTAATTCCAACTTTAAACAGTTGAAATTAAAACATGGTGCAATGATTTGTGTTTGAGCCTCTAAACCACTGCACACGGATTTGGACATGAAAGGCTTTACTGAGGATTTACAGGAGTCTTTTTCAGGGGCTGATCAGTCAGTTGTATTTTCTCTTCTTTACAAAAGGACGGCACATACCACTCCACAGTAAGGTCCAACAGGCGGTGAGGAGGTGTCAGGGCCATTGTACAACTTCAAGAAGTTGTTCTGGCAGTCTCCAGGGTCATCAATACTGATCTGGGCAAAGGTGACGGTCACCACACGACCTCTGGGTGCCCTGATAACCCATTCACAGTGGGTGCTGTTGGGATAGGTGCCTGGGTAGTTGGGGCTTGCAAAAGAGCCATGGTCACCGAACAGAGTGCCACCACAACCTGGTACACAAACATGTCAAACAAAGATGTTTCAGCCAAAAGAAGAACAGCAAACAGGAAGACATGAAGCAAAAGATGAAGACATGAAGCAAAAGATGAAGACATGAATGACATGGGGTTGTACACTGACAATAATAGGGGCGTATTGACGCACAGTGTTTGACACCAGTGTGTTTTGGCCTCAATTCATTTTCCTGCATTTAGATGAATCTCTGCTGCATCACAAACTGCTCTCCTGCCTGTTTTTCTCTGTCAGCAGCTTGTCTAGTGACCTGGTTCCGAAAGGGCAACACAAAGAGAACACCCCCCACCCCCTGATTCACATGGCAACAGGTGAATCAGGGGAGTACTGGCACTTGTGTTTTCCCCACTGTTAAAGATGTACTAATGGTTCGCAGCAGCTTTGTTAGTCTTTTTGTTTTGGAGTGTAAATCTGTGCACTCTGGCTGTGTCATGGAACCTGCTTTAACATCACACATATATGTGTAAACAGTTCAGCTCTGACCGTGAGGGGAGGACGTCCATGTGGCCTCGAAGCCATCGCGGGCGTTGGAGAAGTCACTCTTGAAGCGCAGGTAGAGCAGGTTGGACTGTGGAAAGATGGGGCTGGGCAAGGTGCTGCCGCAGAAGCGATCAAACAGTGGTGAGTCCGCTGTACTGCCATTACGAATCTGAGAGACAACAGAGAGTGTTGTGGTTAACTGAGTCGCTGACACTTGTAGCACATTTCCTCCAAACACTTTTGGTAAGGTACCTTTGGAACCAACAGTAACCCTTCAGACATGGTGCCTAGACCCTCGGTCTGTTTAACTGTTCCACTGCAATCAGAACTCTTAAGCCCCGTTTCCACCATAGAGTTCAGTACACATTTTTCTGTTCCCACAGTAAAAGTTGTGGATGGTAGCAACAGAAGCGTTCCTTAGCGTCTCCATGTTTGGTCCCCCCTCTGTTGGGGTACCTAGCACACAGATCTGGTACTAAAAGGTGGACTCAATGCATGAGTTGATGACGTGAATCCATCAGCACACCTTAAATTTCACTGTGACAACTTTGACCATCACTTTAGTTTTTATATGACACACACTTTTAGTAATGACTTTAAAAATATAGATTAATTTGGAGCGGATTATGTGAAGGTCATATATTCTAATCCTCACTTCCTGTGGGCTACAGCAACACTAAACCCCTGAGCTTGCCTGAGAAGGACTAAATGCACAAAGCTGCTATTTTTAAATATCCCATGGAGAGAGACTCTCACTGCAGCCTGTTCTATTTTGTTGTGAAAATGTGGGCGTGCAGCCTCGTTCTGTGGACGATAAACCAGGTGCAGACTTCCATCTGTGTCACCGCTGATGAGGAAATACAGCGAGTGCTGGACGGAGCAGTGAGTGACAACAACCCCGCCCACATTTAAGAGGACTGTCTGAATATACCGAGGGTCTAGGTACCATGTCTGAAGGTTTACTGCTGGTTCCAAAGGTGCTGTACGATGTATGATAATAATGTGTTGGAGTTAAATGATGGATGTAGCCAGTAAAAGTGTGTGTGTGTGTGTGTGTGTGTGTGTGTGTGTGTGTGTGTCTGCATACATGCTGCTTGTTTTACCTCCAGGTAGTCAAATCTACAGTCGGTGTGGCTCTCCAGATCGAAGTTGTTGAAGAAGAAGGAGATGTAGCTGTTCTGTGGTGCCTTCAGAATGATGGTGCAGTCTATGTTGTGGGGGTAGATATCCGGCCAGCCTGGACTCTTCAGGTACCCGTATTCCTGTTCATAGGTTCGGCTACAGCCTGGAAATCATCACCAGCACCACAGTCAGGGCACTTAAAGGGTAACTTCAGTGTTTTTCAACTTGGACCTTGTTTTCAAATGGTCTCAGTGACTAATGGGAGCCACATGATTTTTATTGGTCCAGACCTGAAAGAGAGCGTTGCGGCCAGTGGTCGTGAAACAGGCTGCAATGTAAACCATTTGGGGCAATTGTGCGCCATCAATATACGTCCACTAAAAGTGTTTTTGTTACTGACGGGCTCAGACTGTCATTCTAAGAGTGTGTCTGCATTACAGCGAGGATCCCTGCAGACATAGACCTTTTTAATAAAGAGTAAGATTTTTTTTTGTTTAAACAGAAACAGCCACAAAATCAACTCCATTTGAATAAACAGTAATTTTAGCGTGTATAGAGTCAGAATATTTTCACGTCTAACTGTGTGAGCTAAGAGTTAATTTCAACCAAGTCAGAGTCGGTGATTGTAACTAACCCTAACCCCGAGGGACGGGACAAAGAGCTCAAGGTGTCAACCTGACCTCTGAATATCCCAGATCCCAACCTGATCGAACATTTGAGGGACGTGCTGGTACCCCTGATCCATGGTGGGTGCTCCTTGGACCGGACTTGACTGTGACCTGTTAAGGCACGAACACAGAACCTCTAGACGGCATCCCTTGGTGTCTGACACCAGGGCGTTACTTTCAGATCTTTTGAGTCCTGTGGGCTGTGAAGTGGGGTACCAGCACGTCCCACAGATGTTTGATCAGATTGGGATCTGAAGAATTTGGAGGCCAGGTCGATGCCTTGAGCTCTTTGTCAAATTCCTTGGGCCATTCCTGAGCAGTTTTTGTGGTGTGGCACGGTGCATTGTCCTGCTGGGGGGCCACAGCTACTGGGGAGGGCCGTTGCCATAATGGGGGGTACCTGATCTGCACTGGTGTTTAAGTTGGTGGAGCGTGTCAGGGGGCATCTACACCAGTGTCAGAGCCCCAGATTTCCCAACAGAACATTGCATCAACAAGATGATCAGTGTTGTTCACGTCACCTGTCAGTGGTTTTAATGTCTTGGCTGATCTGTGTTCTCTTTCCAATCTGTAGAATACCACACACCCACTGATCACAGTTCCCTCTTCAGGTTAAAGACAACCTGCTGTTTTTTGGTTCCAGCTGAGAACCAACTTTTCGGGTTCTGAACCAGTTTCTTTCTCATCAAAATGCTTAACGGTTCAAAGTAACGTGCAGGAACTAGAACAGAACCGGTTCGACCTTGGCAGGGAAAGGGCACACTTGGGCCAAATGTTTTGGTTGCTCCTCATCTCGCCCCAGGTTAACCACGGGTACTTACTGGCGATCTGATAGGTGAAACTCAGGCCATTTCCTGTCATGAAGGTGTCAGATCTGAAGTGTACGTGGATTGTTCTGCTGTAGCTGTAGAAGTCTGGTGGATGATCATCTGATGCACAGAACTTATGTGACTGCCCATAGTCTCCCTGCAAACACAAGAATCACCTTATTCAGAATGGATATTACAATACTGCCACAGTGAAGTATCATAAAAATTAATTTGGTCATTTTCACCTCTGCAGTTATTAAGAGTGCTTTCACACCACATATGCAGCACGTTCTTAAACCCAACTTTCAAATACCGCAGCTTTGTCAGTGATCTCAGCATCACAGCCTGGTGTAGAGGCACCTTTTGCAATTTGTAAAGCAACCAGCAACTACCGTAATATAAAGAGTGACAAAGTCAATATAGGGAGGGCGGGGGGGAAGTTGAATGAGTCTAACAAACTCCAGACTTTCATCTTTAAACCAAACCATGATGTTTTTTCTTAATCTAACTGCTTTTGTTGCCTTCCTTGCTTAAATCAAAGTGTTCTACCAACGTTGTAAGCTCATTTTGAAAATGATGGTATGCATCTAGCGACTGAGGTCAGAAGTGTACTTTGAAAAGACACAACAAGACATTCCCTGAACGTCCAAAACAGACACAGAAGGGTACCTGAAGCGTCATATTTAGACGTGTATAGCCCCGTTTCCACCAAACACTTCTGGTGTGGTTTCGGTGTGAGACAGTCCTCTTGGCAGCCATGTGAGTCAGTCCTACCTCATGTAGGAAACCTGAAGTAGCACTTGGGCCAGTCCCTTGAGCATGGAGGCTAGCCATCTACTGTTGGCTGCTGCAACATTTGGAACATATGGAATCTGACCTGGATTACTCACCTGTGTCCCCTCCCTTCACCCCTCCCCCACTGATGGTTTACTCCACCTTAATTAGTTGGTGGGAGGGTTTTTAAGGTTTCAGGCTGCTGTTCTTTTTCACTCTGTTGCACATTGTGCTTCACTTAATGTCCACACCAGGACTGAAGCGCTCTGAGGCCAACGTGACACTCACCATCGGCCAGTCCCTCATCTCTAGGTAGTTTTCGGAGCAGCTCTGGCTGGGCTGGAGGGAAAAGGTCTGGACTGCCACTTTGATGGTTTCCTGGGCTGGAGCATCCAGGATCCAGCGGCAGGAGGTGTGAGGAGGATAGGCATTGGGGAAGAAAGGTGAGGTCAGGGTCTGGATGGCAGTTGTGGCATTCAGAATCCCACCGCAAACCACTGAGGGACACATCGACAGGTTTGGAAAAGGCACAAAATTAGAAGAATAGCAGCAACATGTAAATCACAAGGTTATAACAACAACGACTTACAGTTCCTTTGTGGGGGGTTTGTGCTTCTTCAGCGCTAAGCTAGTTTCCCAAACTGAAGTTAGAACAATTAAACAAAATCCTCAGAAACACTGACCAAAAACCTTGTCAGTTACTGCAGGGTTAGCGAGTTAGCTTGCTAAGTAGGTTAGATATGCTAACAAGTTAGCTTGTCAATAGGCTAGGATATTGTTCATTAACAGTGAGGGTAAAGATGATGTCATTTTGCCTTTGCAAAGATCTGCAGACACATTTTCCCTCCTTTTTAAATCACCTATTCAAAACCATCTAATCCAAATCAAATCTATCCAGGATCAAGATGGAACAAGGGACGGAAAATGTGTTAATGAAAAATGATATTATCCTTACTGTTTTAGTGAACAGCTAACTTGTTAGCATAGCCAACCTGCTTAGCAAGCTAACCTGCTAACCCTGCAGTAGCTTACAAGGTTTTTGTTTAATCATCCTTACTTCAGTTTGGAAAATTATCTTAGCTCTGAAGAAGCACAAAAGAATTTTGAAAGAGGTCTAGGAGCAGCACACTGATGATGTCAGAGGGCTGTGATTGGTTGATGGCAATGTTGGTCCTGGAATGAGATGTGGGATGTTGATCAAGGAGCATGTCCTACTTGGCCAAATCATATCGTGCGTTGTGTGATAAGGACCACAGAGAGGACACGAAGAAATGATGATGACCTTTGCAGAAGTCACAATCATCTGCACTGCATTTACTGTTTACTGAAAGCGTAACCTGCATGTGTGACAGCATGAGCGTCTCTTGTGTCAAATAATGTCCAACAAGCAAAAGCAAATACCATCGACCTCAGTCATGCGGTCATTAACACATTTTTGGTTGACTGACAGGATCCCTAGCCAATGAGGCAGCAGCAGACGGGTATTTGAAAACAGTCATTTTGGGGTTAATTATTGGCGTCGAAATGTGTAGTGCACTTTGAATTGGTCTGATGAAAATGAAGCCTTGCTGCTGCAGTGAGCGAAGCGCAGTGTAGTGAAGAGGGAGTACAAAGTGTCTTACATGGCACAGCTCTGTAGGTGGCGTTGAAGCCTCGTTTCTGCACTGAGCCATCAGTGACAAAGTGAACGGTCAGGAAGTTTCCGCTGGATACAAAATAAGCAGGAATGAAGCTTCCACAAAATGTGCCAACCAGAGGGAAGTTCATGTTGTCACCATCATACACCTGGTGGAGATACACAGACATTAAAGACATTAAGAAAAAATAGCAAATCTATTGTGTCGCAATTTTATTGCCAATGTAGTTTTGTCCTACTGTATTTCAGTTTGACAAGTAGGTACCTGATTATTACACTTCGCATCATGAATCACAAAAGTGCATTAACATGGAAGCAAAACCACAAGTGTAGTTAATACAAGGTAATCAATATTTTCTCTGTTGATGTAATCAAACGGATGGAGTCCTGTCTCACTATCTATGAGAACACAATGTAGGGGAGTTGGGAATAGGACCTCAATGTTTGTCGATCCTCTGTTGGTGTTCCACAAGGCTCAATCTTAGGGCCTCTTTGGTTTAGTCTTTATGTTAATGATCTGCCACTCACATGTCAGACAGGTGTGAAGTGGCAGCTAAATTAACAGCAGCTGAGGCCAAAATTTACAGCTGGCTCTCCGAGTCTTGCCTGACACTCAATGTAAGTAAAACTGCTTGCATTTATTTTTATATTAGGAAAAATGGAAGTCAGCCTGATATTGTGTTGAAAGGAGGAAGGATCCAGACTGTGTCACATCTTAAATATCTAGGAATTATTATCGAGTCACAGCTGACCTTTTAAGAAACATGAATCAGGTGTGTAAAACTTTAAAATCCATTTTAAAGGAACTTCAGGTATAATCGAAACCAGCTCCCCTTAGATGCAGCAAAAATATTCATACACTCACTGATTTTTTGACATATTTCATACTGCATTACAAGCTTCAAGAACAACACTGACCTCGCTGCAAATATTTTACAAACAGTCAAGGACAAAAAAACCATCATGTTATCACCACTGTAACATCATTCAGAGACATAATCTCCTGACCTCTGACGGCTCTGTGTGTCTTGCTGATGCTTCTCTGGTGTACAAAGTGGCGACTGTGCAGCAGAGCACAGATCTGCTGTGTTTGGTGGCTCAGTCTCTGTTTGAGCTTGTAACTACTGGGACTCAGAACCAGGTGAGATCAGACAGTGCAGCAGCTTTGTTGGTTTTAAATTTCAGATGAAATTGTGGCTAAAATCAACCCGGTTGTGTTCCCATCACACATGAGCTCAAACACTTGATCTGACATGATGAAACTTTGTTATATCTTAATGTTGTTGATTTATTGTTGTTGTTGTTGCTGCGGTGACTTAATGTTGTGTTGTTATTGCTAAAACTGTTGTATCATGTTCTGTTTGCCATTTGATTTTTTTATATAACAGAGAAATGATTCTGTTTCCTGCCCAGGGACTACAGATGGAAGTTAGCTTGTAGCTAACTGGTGCAGCTAAGTAGCTGTGCACTGTCTCTGTTGAATAAAATAAATAAATAAAAATAGTTCACACCTGCAAATGAAAGCATTAACTAGTTAACTGATGTTTGATGTCACGTCAAATCATCTTGTAAACTGTTGCAACAAGATGCCAGTGTGGCTGTGTGCTGTGTGATGTTCAGTTATTGTGTCCTGATGAAAGAAAAACAGACAGTATTTCATTGGCGGGAGGTTCTTTACTTTGACATAGTCGTAGCGGCAGGTGGAGGAGCTCTCAAGGTCAAAGGACTCGAAGGTCAGGTTGATGGCCTTGTTGACCGGCATCTCAATGGTCCACATGCAGTCCATCCTGGGCTCATAGCGCCCGTCTAGGTTTGGATCTGGAGAACCAAACATGCCCATGGGCATGGACAGGTAGCCACCGCATCCCTGCGCCGGACCTGCAGGCAGTTCAGAACAAACACAAGTCACGTTCAGACGATCAATCAGACGTGTGTCTCGTCTCCAATCTTTAAGACAGACTGTCCACTCTGTTATTTGCAAGCGATCATGTTGGATTTTTGTGTCCAGACATCACCAACCCATCAGCACGGGTTTCTGGTGACAGCGTAGGACTCAGCGTCCAGACAGTGATGCTGTGTCCCTTGTTTTTGCCAAAAATTCAGACGCCATAAACTGCAACATGGTTATGAGGCAGATGGTGGCCTTGTTTTTGTCCAATAATGGTCAAGTTAGACCCTCTTTTACAGTTAGTTAGTTTTCCCTTTTATTTATTTATATATATTAATTTTTAAATTAATCTATATATTTTTATTATTTATTTCTATTAATCTTAAACATATTTCTACAAGACGATGTTCATTTTTAAGTTTGTAAATTTATGAAATTATTTATTAGTGTATTATTTCCCTTTGTATCCCCACCCCTGTTTATCTTCCTAAACATATTCCTTTCTGCATTGAACGTTATGCATTTCTTTACATTTCTTCATGCATTTGTTGCAATGAAGGAGGGACAAGTCAGGCCCTACATTACGTTCTGAGGGCAGGGACATGACATCACTGGAAAAAAGATCAAGTCCATAGCTCCACATCCAGGGGTCTGTGGACACTGGAGGAGAGCCACCAGAGGGCCCTCTGACCTCTGACCCTCCCTCTGGCTCTCTGACAGCACAGCCTGGGACAGTGGAGCTTATGTGGAGGCTGCTTCAGGGCTGTGGATGGAGCCAGCTGGGGGCTGAGGGTCAAGCCAGGGCCAGTGGAGCATGTAGGAGAACCAGAGGGAGAGCAGGAGGAGTGCAGGTCTGTCCCCGCAGCGGGGCGCCTGCTGTCAGCTGTCCTCCAGTCAGGGCTGTGAGTAGATCGAAGCTCTCGCCAATACTAGTACCCAATCATCTCGTCTGAAACCAGTGTTGATGAAAACTATGATGAAAATATTTCATCAACCACCTTTTTGCCATGACAAAAACAAGACGAGCTAAAAATAGATTTTGATAATAAAAACGAAGTCAGAGTTTACAATGAACCTGGGGACAAATCCTAGTTGGCTCACATTAGTTATTTGTTGAGAGCATAAATAGAGAGATGTTGAACTTTTCAGATGATGATCAGTAAGTGTGTGCTCGTAAATCAGCCCTTAAACCTGTCACACACTGCTGGAGACATGACACACACATTATTTTATACAACCTGTCACCTTGATTCTGATTTATGATCCATGAATTAACCTCACTGGATTAGTTTAAAGAGAGAAACACAGATAGAAAACATCAGGACTAAAATATTTTGAATTTTTTCGACTAAAAATGATTAAAATGTGATTTAAACTAATAAACATTTTCATCTCAAGACTAAATCTAAAACAGCTGTCAAATTAACACCGTTTATTACTGTCCGTGTTCATACATTAAGTATAAATGAGCCTTAGGAAGTAAAATACATCAAACATTTGCTTTGATAAATGGTTCAGTCTTTAATGTTATTTAACGGCAAGCGGTTCTGGGCGGTCCAGTTAGGGGGCAGGTTGGTCGTTGGGAGACAGCTGTAGGGAGCCATGTGAACCTGACAACAAAGTGTTGTCATAATTAGTGTATGAATTCTTGCGTTGCGGCCGAAAACGTGTTTTGACGGTCACACTGACCCTTGGCCTTTGACCAAAAAATTCTAATCAGTTTATGTGTCAGTCCAAGCGGATGTTTGTGTCAAAGTTAAAGAAATTTCCTTAAGGTGTTCTGGAGAGATCACGTTCACGAGTATTAGACAGATGCAAGGTCACAATGACCTTGACCTATGGTTACTGAAATCCAATCAGTTCATTGTTGAGTCCATGTGGATGTTTGTGCCAAATATGAAGGAATTCCCTTGAGGCGTGTCCAGAAGGATGGGACGTATGACCCGTAAACATAATGCCTCCGGCCTCGGCTGTCAGTAGTCAGTAGTCAGTCAGTGTTTATTTCATGCATGAGCTGTTAACATGTGGAAATAAATACTCCATCTTTCACCACCATCACAACTTCAGCAACATTGACCTACCAAGTGTCTCACTGTAGGTCAGCCTCCAGCCAATCCCATTCACCGTGGCATCAGTTCTGAAGACAATGAACAGCTGGTTGGTGGAGGAGCGCAGGTTAGGCGGGAGCACTGCGCCACAGAACTTCCCCAGCAAGGGTGCCATTGTGTCCTGTCCATCATACACCGCCACGTAGTCATAGCGACAGGAAGAGGACGCCTCCAGGTGGAAGGTGTTAAACCTACGGACAGAGAGAAGGAGAACATGAAGTAGTTTTCAAAGCTCTTTGGCACCAACATCCTGATTCAGTCACACAGTAATAGATTACTGAAAGACCCAGGTACAGCCACCAGTTGGTTCTGTGGCCACATGAAGCCTGTGCTGACATCTATCTAAATAAATCCCTCTCTCTGTAACTTAAAAAGAAACGTCTCAAACACACTTTCACTTCTCAGGTCCAGTCCTGTAATTCAAGTCTTACTTGATGTCAATCACTCTGTCTGCTCGGACCATGATATGGTAGGTACAGTTGATGTTGTGATGGTAGTTGGTCATGGAGAGTGCCGGGCTGCTCACTGAGGCCATACTGCTGTTGTAGAAACCACCACATGCTGTGGAAACACTCACACACACACACACACACAGTATCATCATAATGAATAACATTGATTATCTTGTTTCAATGCAGTGTTTTTCTGGGAAACCTCAGGTCCTCGCGTTCATCTGATGCCACTTGACTCACACCACACAACCAAACATGCTGCAGACCATGTACCCGGACATTAAAACATGATGATGTCACAGTCAAGCTGACCTTTGACCTTTTGACCTTCATTATTTTATCCTGTTAGACATTTGTGTCAAGTTTGGTCATAATTAGTATATGAATTCTTGAGTTATGGCCGAAAACATATTTTGTGAGGACACTGTGACCTTTGACCACAAAATTCTAATCAGTTTATGTGTCAGTCCAAGAGGACGTTTGTGTCAGATTTAAAGAAATTTCCTGAAGGTGTTCTGAAGAGATTGCGTCCATGAGAATGAAACAGATGCAATGTCACAATGACCTTGACTTTTGATCAACAAAATCCAATCAGTTCATCGTTGAGTCCAAGTGAACATTTGTGCCAAATATAAAAACATTCCCTTGAGGCGTTCTTGAGATATTGTGTTCACAAGGATGGAACTAGATATGATGTTAAAACATGATGATGTCACAGTCAAGATGACCTTTGACCTTTGGATATACAATGTTATCACTCCATTATTTTATCTTGTTAGACACTGATGTGAAGTTTTGTTATAGTTTGCTTAAGAATTCCTGAGAAAACATGTTTTGTGAGGTCACAGTGACCTTGACCTTTGACCACCAATATCAGTTCAAGGAGACGTTCGTGCCAAAGTTGAAGAAATTCCTTCGAAGCATTAGTAAGATATTGCGTTTGCAAGAATGAGACAGATGCAAGGCCACAGTGACCTTGAACTTTGACCACCAAAATCTAGTCAGTTCATCGTTAAGTTCAAGGGGCCGTTTGTGCCAGATTTGAAGAAATTCCTTCAAGACGTTCTTGAAACATTGCAGTTACAAGAATGGAAGGGATGTTCACCCCAAAAACATAACGCCTCTGGCTATCTCCGGCATGGAGGCATAAAAAAGTGAGCACACATTAGCAGGTGCTGGGCCCGCGGCCCATCTGTGAGGTGCCAAACAGTGAAAGAGAAACCGTCTGCAGTGTTTTTAACTGGTTTTAATCAGCTGTTCTGTTTGTTTTGGGGAGGAAGAGACTGCTGGGATAATTCAGCTCGAGGTGAAAACCACCTGAACAATCAATACTGATGGAATTCTACTCGACAGAAGTTCCAGCTGGTTGCAATCTGCAGTCCTCACTCTCAGATTTTACACACTGCTCCTTTAATTTGCTTCTCAGAACAAAGCATTTATTTATCCTCTTCCTGACTTACGATAGGTTCTGTACTGTGCCATGAAGCCAGCATCAGTGATCACAGAGTCAGAGTAGAAGTGGAGTTTCATGGGGCCAAAGGTGGAGAAGGGCCCCGGAATGCTGCTCCCACACAGAGTGGCAATGGCAGGGCCACCAGTGGTCAGGCTGTAGATCTTGAGCCCATCATACAGACAGGTGGAGTGTGCTAGACAATAGACGGGCAACATAAGAAACAAATGACTGACTGTTGTCATCAAACAACAAAGAGTACAAAACATTTATCTCCAAAAGGGAGACAAGACATCTGCTGGTGACCGCTGGTCCGTATGTTGCTGATATTTACCTTCTATTTGGAAGACCTGAAAGGTGACGACGACTATAGTCTGTTCTCCGGCGTTTATGATGTAGTTGCAGTTGGAATAGTCGGGATAGTCGACTGGATAATTTGGAGAAACCACCCGACCGCTGGAAGCCGTGAAGTTTGCGCCGCACCCTGATAAGAAGAAGACAGAAAACTTTCTTTGCACTTTGTTGGGACAGACCGCCACATACCCCACTCTGACACTGCACTGCCACTCAGGGCCCCTCTGTTTCACATTCACAACGGGCAGTATGGTCTTATTAACACTGTGTTCTGCACCCCCCCCGCCCCCATGTCCTGTTTGATTTTGTATTTTTGTATAGTACTGTTGTTGTGTTATTGTCTAACAGTATGTATGTTATATGTGGTATGTCTGTATGTCGTCTTTTGTTATATGTCAAATTAAAATTATTAATTAATTAAACACTGTGAAGGAATCGTGGCTGCCTGGTTCTTACTGGTGCTGAAGGAGGCTGAGAAGCCTTTGCCGGGGGGTCCAGTGCTCTGGAATCTGCTTGTTATGATGTTATATGGAGCAATGATGGGGCCCGGGGCCACAGAGCCACAGCCTGTTGAGAGCAGGGCCTCAGCGTTTTGGGTCTGGCCTGACCACACCTGCAGGAAAATGCACACTGATTCAGGAAGTGTTGTCAAATGGAACCATGAGCTACATGTACATGCACAAAATACTCCAGTTAGTCCAATATTCAAAGGAAAAATAATATCCCGTGCTTTTGCGTCAAATGGGACTTTTTCAGTTTCCTACTGGTGGCAGATTTGTTGGACCGTGTGAACACAGCCTCCCTGTTTCATTCCTTCAACCACCTTCTTGAAAAGATCGGTGTTATGATAACTGTTTAATTAATCAGTTATGATAACGGTGTGCTGCTCTTACCAAAGCAAATGCTGTACTGAGAACTCTGAACACGGAAACAACATTGAAACAAGGTCCAACCTGGCAAGTTAGCACAGTATAGCACAGTACACACTGTAAGCCAACGTTAGCTGAAGCCAAGTTCAGACCAAAGATTCACGATGAGACAAAACCTTTTAAAACGTCACAGAGAAAAGTGTCAGCGGTGTGAACTGGCCGGTCTGAGCTCGACTCAAGCCGGCTGATGGTGTCACCTGACACTCAGCTGGTCAAATAGCGGGCGGCTGGTTTTAAAGCACGTCACCTGTTTCAACAGCCGATCAGCATCATTTGAACATGTTAGCTCAGAGCTGGTACCTTAACATAGCTGTTCTGGCAGGTCCCAGTGCTGTCTGGAATCTGGAAATCTCCTATGAAGCTCATCTCCAGGTGGTTCCCCTCATGGGCGATGATCTGCCAGGAACACTCCACATTGGCTGGAAAGTTCTGGGGATAGTTCGGAGACTTGATCGTTCCTGTATCAGCATGGATCACCCCTCCACAACCTGTCCAGACAAACACAATGTGACTGCACTGTGTGAATGATCATACAGATAATATTATACCTTGATACAAGTGGACTGAATCAACCTTCTTTCACAGGATCGTTGGTCTCATTCCTTGGGATTAATTTCATTTTTTAAAATTTTTTAGATAGAGATACTTTATTATCCCCGAGGGGAAATTCAATTTTTTCACTCTGATGTCACACACACACACACACACACACACACACACACACACACACACACACACCCACCGCCGTCCTCAAACATGCACACACACACTGCAGCATATAATGAACATCATTTATTTGTTGATAAAATCACAGCTCATCAGTTCAGTACAGTACCACACCCACCTGAGGAATCAGCAGACCAGGAGGCCACAAAGCCTCCTCTGGAAACACTATGGTCAGCCAGGAAGACGACGGCAAGCTTGTTGGATCCAGACTGGATGGTTCCTGGGGAGGTGGTCCCACAGTACTGGCCTATAACAGGGGAGCCAGGCGACCCTCCGTTGAAGATGGTGACAGAGTCCCAGCCGCACTGAGAGTGGGGCTCCAGGTTGAAGTAGCTAAAGGTTAGCTGCAGTGAGACAGGGACATGGAGACAAGGATTTTTCACAGCAGGTCCTGGAGTTTAACAACCTCAGCGACACATTCTCACTCCCAGCTCGTCAAATACAGATGCTTGGTCAGCGGCCCTACACGTCAAACTGTGACGCTCTAGGTACCTCTCCAGCATCAGTTTCGGACGCTTAGCGATGGCGTGTGAACTTAAGCTTGTTGTTTGCATTGTCTTTTCAAAATAATCTTCCATTTTTACAGTTAATGTACAGTTTCCATTTGTTAAATGCACACAGTCTCTTTTCAAAATAAACTTCCTTTGTTTTAGGCACCAAAAGCATGTGGTTTGGTTTTATAAAGTATCTTTATTACCAATGTGATGTAACATCATGTGACATATATCACTGGTGTAGTATGCTACACATATAAGCACACAACATTGTAATTGACTCGACTGACTTTTGGCGCGACACGTGACATGAACAGCTGAAGTATGAAGTTTGTTTGACCTGCTCTTTAAACTACAGCAGCTACTCAGAGCATCGGAAATTGCTGCCGCCCCGTTAGCCAAAATAAGAAAACTGTCACTGTACAGGACAACTCTTACTCAGTGACCAATCACAGTGAAGTGGAGCTACATTATGATACTACTGTCCTTGTCCCAGTATACAAGCACGGGAGGGGAATCCATTTATTGAGCCAAGTATGTGCGACTCCTCTACGATAGGTGGAGATATGCCCCCTTTCAGCTTGTTAGTATTGGACCTTTTTCCTGTTGACCTATTACGTCACAGACCAAACAATGGAAAAAACAAGTTAGCTACGGTTAGCTAGCAGCTAACTGCTACCATGGTGGACAACTTTACAGCTCTGTACATTTGGTCCGTCCAAAAAGTCACGGCTCTGGATGTAGATTTCTCCATGTTGTTACCGGCTTCTTCTTCTCTTACACATTTAATGCTATTGGACTTCCGGGTCAAAGCCCGGGGCGGAAACTGTGGAGCATGCTCAGAGCGCCTCGGCCAGTTTGGGTCTGATTGACTGTATACATGCAGGAGTCACATGATCTGGGTGTGTTAGTCCCACTGTGACAACAAATCCATTTTCTCTAATATAAAGGTACTGAGTGTGCATAGCTGAGCCCTTCTGCTGTTGTGTAGTGGTGATAGGTCCCTCAGGGTAAAAGCAACTATAGAAGCGGATGAATTCAGAAGAAACAGTGAAAGCAAACATGAGAAATGATGGTTAACGCACAGCGTACAGTATATCGCTGTAAAACCATGCACCAGGTTGTGGTGCAGACTCACCGTGATAGTGTGGCCCACAGGGGCCTCCAGCAGCCAAGCACAGCGACTGGGGCTGGGGTAAATGTTGGGGTAGTTAGGACTGGAGAGTGCCCCTCCTTCACCTGACTGCCAGCCTCCACACTCTGCAAAACAGGCAATGATCTATATAAGGCCTGTGATGGTAACATTATGGCTGCTAGATTAGACAAATGGCAGAGCCATACTGTGTACCTCATGTCTCGCTTACCAGAGAACAAGTACTTAGCCTTGAAGCCCAGGTCCCCCTGGGAGGCGTCAGTCTTGAAGTGGACCCAGAGCTCTGGGGTAAAGACCACAATGGGAATGTTGGGGGCGGTCTGTCCACAAAACTTGGCCAACAGCTCTCCATCTGAGTCACCTGAGTGAGGGGGTAGAGAGTTTAACAAAAGCGAAACACAAAGGCAGATATAATCCATCCATCTCTTTCCTAGACCTGCTTTCCTGTTCAGAGGTGAGATGGGCTGGAGCCTGTCCCAGCCCATTCCCACAGTAATATGAGCAGAAGAGAGAGGGCATGTGTGGAGGGCACTCCCTGGACACATTGTCAGTCTATGACAGAACGGAAAACCACATTCACAGTCATAATTATACCCATGGGCAAATTAGAAAGAAGTCGGAGTGTCCAGAGGATACCCACACAGACGGAGGGAGAGCATCATGGCCATGGCGACGGTGGATTCAAAGTCAGCCCGTGTGTCCTGTGAGGTGACTGTGCTTTCCACTGAGCCAGAGTGCTGCCCACAACATATGTTTATTATCCCACATTCAGTTGAATACGGTACAAAGACGAGATATTTAATGTTCAAGCTGATAAACTTTGTTTGTTTTAGTGAAATAAACACTCACTCTGAATTTGATGCCCGGAACATGTTACAAAAAAAGTTGGGACAGAGACAACAAAAGACGGAAAAGTTGTGGAATTCCTGTTTGGAACATTTCACAGGTAAACTTGTTTATTGGTCACAGATTAAAGTTTCATGACTGGGTATAAAGGAGCATTCTCCAAAGGCTTCGGTGTTCACAGGTAAGGATCGTCACTTTGTAAAAAGCTGTGAGGACGAACAGTCCAACAGTTCAGGAATGTTTCTCAATGCACAATTTTAAGAACACGCTGGAAGGAATATCTATCACATCTGGCCTGGGAACGCCTTGGGATCACCCAGGAGGTGCTGGAAAGCGCCACTGGGGAGGGGGACGCCTGGAATACTTTGCTCAGAGGATTCGGATAAGCAGTTAAAAATGTATGGATGATGGTGACGAATAAACTTCCAGACGCTGTGAACACTATGGTTCACACTACAAACACTACAGTACAATATACTACTTTACTACTCAATGACTCTGACACCCCAGATCTGAAATGTATGTGCACTGTAACTTCCCTCAGTGCGTAGAGCCAGGGCTCTCCGTGTGGCACTCACCTAAGCGGAACTGGAGGTAGTCCGACTCACAGGTCTGGTGGTTCTCCAGGTGCAGGTCTTCTATCAGCACCACAATAGAGGAATTGATGTGCTGTGGGTTCTGAATCAACCATTCGCAGTTGAGGTTGTTGCTGTAGTTGGACACCAGGTACCCAGGGGAAGTGAAGTTTCCGCCTGCTGGGTTGTTCAGGATTCCACCGCACTCTAACAAAAGGCATCAAGAAAACGTGGGAGCACAGTGAGAGGCACGGACACACTCGCAAGATCTAAACACCACAAATGGAGGTAGAGCAAACATTAGAAACACCTCTCTGTTCAACACAATTTCATAAACATAGTTTGATGGTGGTCGTAACAAAGGATAGCCAAGAGGACACTGTCATCATGCAGTTCTGCCATGGATGACATGGATGACATGGATGAACATGGATG